AGCGTATGCGAATCTGCCACCTGCTCATGCGTGGAACCTGTGGGAGCCAAGATTAGCACAATTAGATTTGTAAGGGTTTCGAGAGGAAGTAGAGATTTCTAAGTTAAGCTACGAGAGAAAACGATGAGCAAAGAAAAGTTCTTATTGCTGTGTATGCTTTTGTGAACAAAGTTGCGGATACCTTTACAAGGGTTTATGCATTGATATATATAGTGTTCTTAAGTCGGCTAGGTTTTCCATAAAGGATTATGTTAAGTTTCCTAAGTCTTTGCGGATTTTCTTTTCGTCCATCGGTTGCGCCGAAGTGGGTTTTGCAACTGGACTGGGCTTCAGCGTTGAGACTCCAAGCTCCCGCGGTCCTTGCGACGTCGCTTCGTAACTGCTACGCTTATCTTGTGGAGATGTCTGGGCCTGTCCTCCCAACTGGTTAAGGGCCGTAGCCCAGCGCGGGAAGTCCCCGGGCCCTTCTCGCGGGACGAAGGCAGGCCGCTCATACTGTAATATCTCATGATTTTAAGACTCCGTACTTTATTGAAGATTTTAAGACTTCTTGTTTCGCTTGCTGAAACCGACTGAGTTGCGATGGAAAAATGATTTTCGGGAGTGGAAAAATATCGTTGATGAGGGCGGTACCCGCTAATGAGATTGGGGAGAGAAAAGATTCTTTTTCCCTTTTTTTTTTTTTTAAAGAGATAAGGTTTTTTTTTTGTTTTCACCTTCTCTCTCCTTTTTCCTCTCCACACATCTCTTAGGTTTTTAGACTCAACTTCATCTTCCTCTTCTCCATAGCACCGCCGCCGAGCTTGTTACTCCGCCGCCGACGTGTCCTCTGCGCCACTGCCGACGCCTCATTCTTCTCTTTGGTGAGTATCCTTGTTGATTTCTTTGCACAAATCTTCTAGATTCCATGGCTTTTCTCTCTTGAAAAACCCAAGCTTGGTTGAGTTATATTTTGAGGAAGAGCTAGCTTTGTTGTGCTAGATAGCAAGTATTGGTAGTTGATCGCTAGGAGAAACTCTTGAATCTTTTATTTCTATTGATTAACAAGCTTTGATTGTTGATTGCTTTTTGGTTTTGGGTAGATGCTTA